GAACTGATTTGATGGCAAACCCTTTACCGCTTCAACAACCTTGAGGATACCTTGATAAAAAAAAGAGTCAGAAACAAACGGTAGATAGCTATGTCAAGTGGATCCAACATTTAAAAGCTAAAGGTTTGACTATTGTAGATACCACTTTCTGGCTAATTGTCGCTCAATAAAATTTGAAAAGTTATTTTAGTGATAACTGTTACTACTACTACTACTATTATTACGATTATTATTATTAATTGGTGTCGCTGATGGAGTAGTGGTACCCTCGCCTGACCCGTATGCAGGCAGCGTCTGATCGTTTCCCCGTCGGTGACAGTGTGTCAGTGACAATGTGGGCGTGAATGGTCATTTGTATATGTGCCCTGGGACTGACTGGCGACCAGGGTGCAGTCTGCCTTCCGTCCGAAGTCAGCTGGGATAGGCTGCCGCAACTCCCCGCCACCCTCTTCAGGATAAGCAGTGTTGAAAAATGTATTATTAATTGGGTGGCAACCAGTTCAGGGTGTAACCCCGCGGCCGCCCGAAGAAAGCTGGGATAGGCTCCGGCACACCCGCCACACTAGTGAGGATAATTGCTTAGGAAAATGGAAATTATTATTATTATTACTAGCAGTAGTAGTCGTAGGAGGTGGAGGAGGAGGAGCAATGAAAATATCAGCAGTCTGATAAGGTTTGACGACGAACCAAATGCAATGTGGATCCCACAAACGCAGTCAGGCAAACTGTGATACAACAAAGTTTATTGACAGAAGAACTATGGACCAACAAAATGTCAACAAATCGCTGGCAACAAAGAACCAGGAAAAACCAATGTGAACAAAAGGCGCTTGCAAAAGGCAAAGTATATTTGAATTCCAAAAATACACAAAACAAAACGGAAAAAGTCCAAATACACAAAACTTAAATCAGATGAGGTTAACGAGAAAACCAAAATGCATACAAAACAATCTATCGAAACGGGAGCGACTATGAACATGAACGTGACATCAAGAAAATATCTCTGAGCATAACAGCAAACAAAAATCTCTTTGACTGTATACTACACACAATTCTAGGAGGAGGTGAAGGTGTAGGCCTCCACATGCTTGATCAATGAAACGTGGAATACAGGATGAATCTTGTGAGTGGGTGGCAGGTGGAGCTTGACAGGGCCCGAAAAATCTGGGTCACAGCTTGCGTGAATTCCAGCTAAATTTAGATCCCGAGTGGAAAGCCATACCTTCTGTCCCGGCGATGACGATCAACAATCTACTGATTATGTTTGGCAGTGTGTGACAGGGCTGCTCTGGTTTCCCCTCAGACATGATGGGCCCACCTTAGGTGGTCCTGAATCAAGGGACTGTCGAATTGGCCTTCCTGAGATGGAAACAGAGGTGGTTGATAACATAAGCAGCTATAAATGTGACCGACCTGTGGCAGACGAGGCAAGGGTTTTGTGGGCATATTCGACCCATGGCAGATGGTTGGCCTATGATGCAGGACTGTGAAGACAGACGCAGTGGAGGGTGGTTTCTAGGTCCAGATGAAATGTCTTCCCTCTCAAGACAGGCTTCTGCTAGGAAAAAAAAAAGTGTGAGGAAAACCCTACTAGAACAACTGAAAGGATAATTCAGAGGCACTTTAAATGGTGGCAAAACCCAGGAATTTGAACACCCTGTGTATTTAGACTTTTGAAATCCACTATATATCAAATTTAAAAAATGGTGCAAAGTCTTAACTTTCCCCACTCCTAACATTCAATATGATAGAACACTGAAAAGCTGGGCCTGACCTAAGTCACTTATCCATGAACAAAATTTACAGTTATCTACTCTTATCGTCCTATTTCAGGCGGAGGTTCGGTTTGATCTGCAGCTTGAATCAAGAGCATAAATGATGTCCACGAGCGTTATCGCTTACTGACATCATTTGTTGTTGAGTGACCTCTGCATGGTGTACTTTGAACACCATCTTCTTTTCTTTCCTGCAGCCAGATTACAGTCATTGAAATCACAAAGACACACAAATACTTGTAATTGACATACAGTAGTACTCGTAGGCCTCTTTCCGAGTACAGTATATTCTTTTTGTAATATTACGCTGCTCCAATTTGTATGTTTTCAGTAAACCACCAGGTGTCACTCTCTACCCGTTCACTCATTCTGCAGGAGCGGACGTCAAACCAGCAATGAAAACACGACACCTTCTGTGTCTATGTTCTATCAAATATCAACATTTTTCAAAAACGAACCATTAATTTTACAGATTTATGTTTTTCAAAAAAACAGATAGTAAACCATCTTATAATTCCATATGTCCGTCTCACACTCAATGGTCTACTTTTCATGATGTCTTTCACAGTATACAGTGATCCCTCGCTACATCGCGGTTCGTTTATCGCGGGTTCATTGCATCGCGGGTTTTTTCAAACGTATAAAAAAAAAATAAAATAAATATACATGGAGTACAGTACTATATATGTTGCGCTATGTGACTCGCTGTTGTTTTGCAGCTTCTCGCGAACCGTTTTTTTTACCTGTTTATGTTAATTGGATGCTACTTCGCGGATTTTCGTTTATCGCGGGTGGTTTTGGTCCCCATTAACTGTATGTAGTATTTGCTGTTAGATGCAACCCTGTTGCAAAACATGCAGTATTAAAAAAATATTACTGTCACAGGGGTGCAAAGTTTTTGGTTGAGATGACATGCTAGCGCTGGGCGGCACAGTAGTAGACTGGTGAACACGTCCGTCCTTGGTGCAGAGGTGCAGGGTTTGATTCCGTGGGTTTTTTGGTTTCCTCCCAATTTCCAAAAACATGCGTGGCAGGTTAATGGGACACTGTAAATCGTCCCTAAGTGTGACTGTAAGTGCGAATGGTTCATCTGTGTGCCCTGTGATTGGCTGGCAACCATTTCAGGGTGTACCCTGCTTAGTGCCTGAAGAGGAGACAGCTGGGACAGGCTGCAGCACACCTGCGACCCTCTTGAGGATAAATGGATTAAATCTTAATCCATTTTTTTAATCATTAAAATATGGATGGATGGATGCTAGCAGTGTCTGTGTTAGCTGCTATAACCAGCCCAAAACGAAAATGTGTCAGTTGACACATACCAACAAATAGAGAGTACTTATAGTCAGAGCAATTCGTTTGATGCTGTCATTCCTGCGGAGTCTCTTTTTTTTTCTTTTCCCCTAGATGGCTATAAAGCTTTTAGTAACAGGACCGTGTATGTTGAAAAAACAAATTCAGAGCATTGATATTTAACATACCGTATGTCTATGATAAAACAAACATCCTTGAACAATTACAATGAAGATATAGGCTATTTAAAAAAAAATCACACAAAAAGTTTATTCCATATATATTTTGTCAGTTTTACTTGATATGTAGGTTGGTCATCAATCAGAAGTGTCAATAAAAAAACACTTTAGTGCGACAGAAATTGAATTTAAATGAGAGAATATGCTTTTTAATTTGCACGCCGAATGGAACTCTTTTGGGGGCGACTGGGGCTGTTTTCAGCTAATGTTTTAAATGGGCCATTGTTGATATTTTTGGACAGTGGGGTATATTTTCAAGTTGATTAATCTTGACTATCTAGACAGTAAACGTCATAATAAGGTTCCTGGTTGAATGAAGAGGGAGATTGACACAGCATCTGCAGTAATGCGGACTCTGTGTCAGTCTGTCTTGGTGGAAAGGAGCCGAGCTGAAAGCGGAAGCTCTCGATTTTTTGGTTGATCTATATTCCTACCCACACCAATTGCCAAGAGCTGTGAGAATAGGATCGAAAGAATAAAATCGTTGAAACAAGCAGCCAAAATCAGTTTCCTCCGCAGGTTGTACAGGCTCTCTCTTAGAGATAGGGCGAAAAGCTTAGGCATCCTTAGAATACAGCCGCTGCTCCTCCACATCGCCAGATGTTGGGGCTCAGGCATCTAGTGAGGATGTCTCCTGAATGCATCCTTGGTGAAGTGTTCCAGGCATGTCCCATGGGGAGGAAGTTCTAGGGATGCCCCAGGACATGCCAGAAATGTCTTCTGGCTGGCATTCTGTCCAAATGTAAAATGCCTAAACTTGCCAGGCTTTCAGCCTGTGGGTAAGTGTGGCCATTTTCTCTTATGGGTGTTCTAAAACTGGACTGACCTAAAATCTAAAATTATGCATTTTTGCTATTTACTTGCAGTTGTGCATCAGTGAAATTGTTTCCAAGAATTAAATTCAGAGTGGAGCAGCATCCGATCCTCCTGCAAGCAACCCTGTCGAAAAACGTAAGTGACCAGAATGTATATTGTACTTGTCAATGGCAGCGAACGTTCAGATTCTAATTGACAAAGTCTAATTGAGAAAATGTAAGTAAGTGAGTAACTTTCTGTTTATTTTGCTGTATGGTCTACTTGAGCATGCAGAGGGGCTCGTGTTGCATCTATAGAAGTGCAAGCGAAGGGGGTCTTTTAGATGAAAGTGGGTTTCCATGTATATTTAATGCAATGGTCTGTTGAGTCCTGCTGGAATGCAGTGTCTAATGAGGAGCGACATTTTGAAAACAGGCTGGGCCACTAGTCGCCTCATCAGGTGCACAAAACAGTCGGTGCAGGGAGCAGGCCTATTTTTCATCCTCCGCATTTGGCATGACTCACTGGCACCGCTTAACATGCCGTGTACTTTTTGAGATGCAGCATATATAGGCTGTGTGCAACATCTACTGCTTGGTATATACTCACGCCAGTGCAAAGCAAAAAGCATCTTAGTATCTGAAGAGCAATTCACATTTCTTTTTCACTGCACAAAGTCGTATTTTTCATCAGGAATTTCTTTACTCTGCTGGCCTTTGTAGCTCTCAAGGTTGCATAAAAACTGAAAGCAGACTTTCACTGGTCGAGATTCTTTTCATTGTTCTGCAATAGTTATTAGCCATTGCTTCTTTAGTCTCTGTCTTGACTTTTGGTTTGGTTTATTGTATCTTAAATCGTTGATGGACATTGAGATTATTGTCTTTGTTAAAAAGGCACATGCTAATGGTTGAAAGATTTTTTTTTAATTCACTGTCATATAATACAAATATTCAGGTTATTAACAATCAGAAAATAATAAACATTTTTTCCCCATTTGTTCCATCGGGTATACAGCTAATTCACAAAATAAACCTGAGACCGTGAAATAAAATACTTTAAGCAGGAACAGATTGCTACACGGTAGCCATAAAAAAGCACCCAAACATTTTGAATTCAGTACCTTTTTTTTTCATCCAATGAAAATATGACTGTACTGCTTTGACCATAAAATATACAAAGTATTCTGCTGTGCCACAAAAATATCCATTGAAATACCATCGGCTCATCTTTCTGTGGGCATATTTAAATGTAACATTCACAATATGGTTCAGCATCAAATTATCTCATTTATGTCATCCTTTCCCCATCGACAATTGGTGTTTTTTTTTTTTTTTTTTTTTTTTTTTTTTGCGGTGTTCCAGAAAACTGTGAAGTCAGCGATTTCCACCATCTGAAGATAAAATCGAAGTGGACGCCGTTTGAAGTCAGTGTACATACTCACAAATTTTCACCAATTCACAGCTCTGTGATAATGACAACAGTATGAGTCTGGAATTATTTCAACCTTCATTCCTTTATTTCCAATAGCAAGTTAAACGATATCAAAGTCGACTCACCAGAGTCATGGATTGTGTTCGTTTTTGGAGGGCACAGCTCGAATGCTGATGATGCACTCATCGAGGTCATCAGCCATGTTATTCTTTTGTTTACCATTGATTGGAACGCCAACATTTCTCAATGTGATATTTCCTACTTCCCAGCTCTCTGGAATGCAGAATTACACTCACAGATAGAGACACAAACTCCATACGTAGCCACTCAGTAAGTCAGGTGTGCTCATGGGGAATTGCTATACAATATATTTGTGATGAACCATTTCTGTCCAGTGCATTTCTGCAGAGCCAGTTGGTAACCAAACTCGTTGTCACTGTTTGCTACAAGCTCCAGGCATCTTCTTGATTTTCTGTTCTGAATGGATCCGCCCTGAAAAGATAAAAACTGAAAGTTTGGAACTGTTCTGGCTCCACAAGAACATTAAACATTTTTGACACACAGTTGTATATCAATCAATGAGACATACAGTCTACAGTATTTTTTTCAAACCGATTTTTTTTATCTTTTAATCTACGGGCATGTTTCGGGCCAGTCACAAGAAGGAGTCATGCCATATAATCTATTGCAAAACTCCTTATCTGTCAGCATGAACATGCACATTTGTTGCCACTGTTTGGGATCTTAGTGATTCATGACCTTATTATTGTTATCTAAAGTACCGACTGAACATTTTTTGTCACCTGAGTGAAGAGCCAGTGTAGTTTCATGCGTTTGGCTGTGGCGTAGCTACACTCGATGAGGCGTGGTCTGCTGTTCACGTCCACCAGGCACTTATTGTCATCATCGTCAACAGTGGGACTGAGGAGACCCACCAAAAGCTGCTGAGTACTGGTGTAGTACACATTCTGCAAGAACATAACAACTTGGTTTTGATGTCTGAGGCAATCAGAGAGGGAGTACGGTGGAAGCATCACGTAAAGTTTGGATGAGCAATAAAGCCACAACAGTGCAACAGTGGAATTGGATATGTAATTTACAAAAAAATGTTACAAGGAGGAGGATAGAAGTGTGAAGTGGAGAGGACTTAGAACAGAGCCTACATTTTGATAGTAGTTTTGAATTATATTTCACAGATATGATTGATGATAGATAGGGATAGATCTATTATCGGGGGGGGGGGTCGGCGGGGGGAATCATGTGTTGATATTAGGCATTTTGACACATTTTTTTGTTCAAACAAAGATGGCCGTTGTCAAAGAAAAACAACTTTTACTCAAAAGTAAAGTGTTTGAATTATTTATTTATTTATTTTTACACCGATATTTTCCCTTTTACTGAAAATGAATATCGGTTCCAAACATCGGCCTCCTTGACTCCTAATAATTAAATTCAGTCCTGAAAACACTCTATTGCTCTAATTCTAAACAAGGATTTCTGAACTGTATTTTTAATGTATTAAATGTCAAGGGATTGTAACATTGGAGCAACTTTGGAAGAATCAAAACTACCTATTTACTTGATTTAAATTCACTGCTGACAGGAGGATATCAAGACGGCAGACGACACACACACACGGCAGATTTGGAGCAAGCATAAATATTTAATCCTTACAAACAGCCTTTTTTCAAGAGAATCGGCTTTCCTGTATTTAGCTGGGATACTGATCATTTGAGAATTTAGTGGGGAAATAATCCGCATTTAAATATGGGAGGGAGTGAGTTTGATGATTTACAACGCGCTCACAGTTGACATTGGATTTGAAATCTGTGCTACATATACAGAGAACTCAACTCAAGCTACATTTTATTTTATCATTACCATACAGGCATTTTTTGGTGTTCAAATTCCGGAGTCTGATTAGCTGACCGAGCATTGCACTTTTAATTGTCATATTAGTTGTGCTTTTTCTACTACTGCATGACATCTCTGGACACATGGAGGCCAACTTTGGCATTCTAGTAAGACAACATGTTGCTACTGAAGCAAACCTGTGCACTATTTGACATCTTAGCACCACTTGTACTAGTGATGAAATGCTCGATGTTAACTGGCAAAATTTTACAATGTCACTCGTACAGTAGTACAGTACTGGAAGCACATAGTTTTCAACTAGTTTTGCCTCACATGTAACAAAGTAGTTGTCCTATTTGTAGCGCCCGACCGAGATGGATTTTTAGATCTCCGCCTATTTTTGGCAGAAAAAAACAATTGGCTGATTAACAAAAAAAAATATACAATGCATAAAATAATGTAGCCCAAATGCATTTCAATGGGAGTCAATTATACGGGATTTTTCACTATTCGCGGTAACGATTGGGTCGCTATTCCCTGTGAATAGCTGAGGTCAGCTGGAAATATAGTATTTAAAAAAGAAAGAAAAAAATATTTTCGTTTCCCAGAATGCGCAATGCATTTACCAGTAATTAATAAAGGTATAGAGACATTAATCCTTTTCATATGTGTGTTTGTGTTAACAGTAATTGAAAATGTGTCATATTTAACATACTTAAGTTAGAATTATGTTGCACTGAGTTTTTTTTATTTTTAAACAAACTGTGACTACGTTGTGTGTAGAATAGTGACATCTAGGTGCATTCCTTGCACAACTTGCATTGCTCATCTGAGTATTGCTTGTGAAAATTGAAATTTGCTTAGATTTTAATGGCAGGTCCCATGACCTCATCAACAAATGTAATTTATTTAATTATTCATACATTATTTATATTTGGAGAAACAGGGTTATGATCTAGATTTATGTGTAATAAATAATGAGACCACTGTTACTTGTTTGTAACTGCTGTCAGTGTACATAAAGTTTACAACAATCGGCAAACAACAAATTGGCCTCGTGATTGATTGCTCGGGCCCTATCTATTATTATGCTAATTATAACTAACTAATTCCTGGACCGGCGGCCCGGTAGTCCAGTGGTTAGCACGTCGACTTCACAGTGCAGAGGTACCGGGTTCTTTTCCAGCTCCGGCCTCCCTGTGTGGAGTTTGCACGTTCTCCCCGGGCCTGCGTGGGTTTTGTGAGGGGGGTGGGGGGGTCATACAACTAGTGCCCTGAATTGTTTGACTAGTAAGGACAAAGTGGTTATCAAGAATATTGAATAAATGCTCAAACAGCTTCCACACGGGACACTAAAATGATCAGACAACATGTTGTTGTATTTTAATTATTGCATGCCACAGTGACTGAAAACAAAATAATACATCATAATTAAGCCCCGGAGGAAAAATAAAATCTTCCTCACGCACTTTTATAATTACAGATCTAGAAGAATGAAAAAAAATGATGCAATACAGTTGTTTGTTATAAATTCGGGAAAAAAGACAGCAGAGTAGTTAAGCCCAAAAACGTGTCAAAGCAAAGTTAAAACAATCTGCTCAGTATAAAGAAGGATGAAGGGATCAATAGAAGCTTGATGAGGCTGGCAAACACAGACGAGAATAAAGCTGTGCTAACATTTGAGGACATTTCGAGTTGCTTGTGATTTAGGCTGACCTATCCTGAACAAACACTCCAATTAGGCTTCAAACTCGCGAGGCAACTGCCAAGCGACACGGTTCGAAACGCATTTGTGGCTGTAAAATGAGAAAAGAGCTCCAACCTGTGGTGTCATTCCATGACAGAGGTACATGATGGGAACATTGTCATTGTCAGGCCCCTGATCCAGACACACATCATTCTTCAGAGAGTTTTTCAGCTGTAACACACATGCACACAAAAAATTATGAATTAATCAATAGTGGGGTTGAGGAGCCGAAAACTGCACTCAAGTAAGAGCACTTTAGTATAATGTGACCCAAGTAAAAGAAGAAAGTAATTATTCAAATAATTACTTGCATAAGTACCCAGTGAAAAAAAAACTATTCAAGTAAGTACTGAGTACCTGGTGAGTATGAACATGAACATGAACATGCATGAGTACATACTTCACATAAATCAAGTAAATATAGTAGATAAAAAAAACAGAAAAATGTGAGTTTTCAAAAATGCAAATGCAAAAATGGCACCATACCTATCTATGCTCTTGTCACACAGTTATTTGAGCATGGCCTGCCTGATTGGTGCACCACAAGGCGCTCCAGGAATGGTACTTTGGAAGTGCAGAGTGAATTGCGATGGAACACTGCCAGGGATGATTCCGCTCCCCACTGGCTTTGTAGACGTTTACTTTATGTGCTAATCAGTAAAGCCACAGGCAGCACAAGGTCTTTTTGTGAGAGCTTAAATGTAAACCTTTCAAGTTCCGTGTGGCAAAAAAAAAAAAAACAAAAAAAACAAAACAAAAACCCCCCCCAAAAATCACTATTTGCAGCACCTTTGGAGAGCGACTTGACAACTCGCAGATGACAGTGTAGATGCCTTGAAGTTTTCATTGATTTGCAAGTGCAAGTTTAAAAACAAGCATTCATGAATCAGGGTCGATGAGTTAGTTAGAGGTCACGGATATTGGCTCATCGATCTCAAAGGGCTTAACTGATTTTGAGGCTCGTCTCGATACTTCTGTCTATAGTGTGCAGACAGCTGAGATGTTCTTGCTTGGATGTATATATGTCTACGTGTGAATTAACTCTTGTTGAGGGAAAATAATTCGATAAGATACATTTGAGAAAGCTTGTTTTGTTAAAATTGCTAGCTGCAATTCTTCAGTATAGAAGGAACTGGTCAGCCAGGAAGGTAAGTGCGCGCAATTTCATTTGTGCCTTTTACACTGCTTTGTCACCTCATCATTTTATTATTATTTTTTTTTAATCACTCATGGCTCTAAGACCTTTGAAAAAGAATTTGGCAACATGATGTAATTGTAGTCACGTTGAGAGACTTTTTCTCTGGTTAGTCGGCCTAAGCGTAGACTAGTGACATTTGTACCATTGTAATAAATGAAGGCGTACAAATGAGCAATTTTTGTGTCTTAAATTAATGGCTGAGCATGATTTGGGCTGTTATGTAGAGGCACAACAATATATAACAACATTAGGTATAATACCAAGTTGAACGATGTATGGTTTGGTATTTCAAGCAAGAGGGAGTTTGTTTTTCTTCCTGAAATGTAGTGATTTTAACTCTTCCATGCACCACGTAACCTGATAACATGATAAACTGTCCTGAAACGGTTAAAGATGTGAGCATTCAGTCAAACAGCAATATCTTGTTTTGATACATAGACCCCTAGCCCCCCCGCCAAAAAAAAATTCCCTGATATTTTGAAGCCTAATCAAAAATGAATGCAAGCAGACAATGTGTTGTGTTTTATTTTTGTGTTCCGCTGCAGTGACGTGTCAAACCATCGCCACCGAGCAGCACATCAAATGCATGCCGCAAAAATAGAATAATGAGGTCTGCAGACGTGAATTAATGTAATAAGGCTGGCCTGCTTCCTTGGTTTCCAGCTGCCGTTTGTCAGTTTGTACAGGACAAATCAGCCATACAACAGGGGGGCCGTAATAATGCAGTCTGACTGTCACTGTGCATCAGGGAGCATCTCAGATGAGATGTGGGAGGAAAGAGACATTCTGTCTTGGGCCAATACACACAGTGCCAGCATATGCCTAGGTTAGCTGCGTGTGTTCTCCTGACAAATATAATTCTGCTGCAAAATCCTCCAGTTGGATTAGCATTATCTCCAGATTAAACAAGAATGGCACACGGCTGACCTCTGCTAAGGCTGAAGACTGAACAAAAGTGGTTTAGTTCTTATTAGGGCCCATCCCATATCTGTCTTAATTGTGTTCCAGCTCTAGCTGGAGTGGAGGGCGTTTCCCTCTGGCAGGTGCACCTGTGCCTCGTTTCCCCATCAAGCCTAGCCTTGTATTTAAGGATTTCAGGTCGGCCATGTTGGATTATTGATATTCTTTACTGTGGTGCTTCAAGTGTGATTTTCTAGGCCTCTTGATAACATTCATAGTTGCTATCGTTTTGCTCATAGATCTTTCTAAGTCTTTTGGGTATTTTAGTATTGCTCTTTGTTTTCGTGATATTGGACTTTTTAATATTTAGTTTGAGTATTCTCGGTGTTCTCTTGATCCAAGCAAGCGCTTTTGGTTTCAGGCATCGTTTTTCCTGGCACCTTGTGACCAGCGTTTTCAGTTCATACTTTGGATATTTTTTTTTGGAATTGCAGTTTGTCTTAGCCTGCATTTTTTTTTAAATCCTAAAACATTATTTGGTTTGCTCAGAACCTAACAATATGGATTTGTTTGAGACCGATACCGATATTTGGCACAGTAAAATTCAAGAAACCGATTAAAAAATGTACATAATGAAAAACCTAACTTCATTTTTTGTACCCTTAACACTTAAAATAATAAACATGAATCGCAGGCAGAAAATGTGATAGTTTTACAATGCTTTGTCCTAGACTTAAATTGGAAACTGCCTAACATGACAACTTGAACCCAAGTGATTATTTGGCTAATACGCTGATACTGTACTGGCCAATTTAATTGACGAATATGAGCTATTTTAAAATCTTTTTTTGGGGGGGTCGTGGGGGGTACATGTTATTATCATTGTCTTATGTTGTGATGTGTTCATGTAAAAGTAAAATCGACAAAAATTGGCAAGGAGAAAAAAATATCTTAAAAGAGAAAATATTGGCCAGTTAATCGATCAAGCGTATTTGTTATGCTTGATGCTTTCCTGGTTTACATAGGTACGACATGCTGCCTTTCATGCAAACAGTGTGGGTTAGATTCATGGACAGTGCCACGGTACCCAGCCACTTCCTGTCCTAAGCTGAATAAATGGGTGGGCTGCATCATGAAGAGCCTCTGGTGTCAAAGTGTGCCAAACAACTCATGCAAGTGAACCCGTCCCTTTGTTTTTCTGTTTGTTTGCTCGTCAATTTGTTTGCAGTCTTTTAAAAAGGATGTTGAGAATAGAGGGACATTCTTTTCCAATGAGACTCAAATAAATACCTCAATCTCTATTGTGTTTTTTGGGAAATGGGGGGCGGGGAGATTTTTTTTTGTTTTGATAATGCAAACCATCAACAGACCATCCAGACCACCTCCAAGTACTTTGACTTGCATGTTCCATCTTACAAGTATTACAATACAAACCGTTGCTTTGACTTCCAAGCAAACAATTGAGATAAAAATGATCGATGGTTGCAGTGAACTCAACTCAATTCACCACAAGCAGCATTTTGGTAGATAGTGAACACTTCTTCAAAAAAGAAGCTTCAAGCTTTTCATTGCCACTCCTGGTTGAACTTTACTGTCAAACTAATCATAAAACAAAGACAATTACCTGATCAGTATTTTAAACAACCACATCCCCCTTGTGAGTTTAAAGTCAAGGCACCACTGTATTTTCTTTTGGCTTTTGCCAAAATGTGAGGTGTGCATTAAAAGCTGCAGTTGCTTACTACTCCATATGCAACAGTTTCGCTGTACATCCTCATCTCAGGGTAGATGTTGACCAGGTACCATCTGAAAGTTTTACACTGCAGCCTCTTCCTCAGAGCCTTTCTTTGTGAGATGTCGCCGATGTCAATGCCCGAGTCCTGGATTCTCTCACACACACACACACACACACACACACACACACACACACACACACACACACACACATTCAAAGCAGAACATTGATTACGTATAATTGACGGGGGCATACAATCACTGCATGGCCATCTGTTACATTTGCAAATAGCTTCTATAGATGTTGGACATTTGTTCAGACTTGAACAGCGTCGATTGTAAACCATGCCACATTATATTTCCACACCAGAATTATTATGGGCTCAGTCTATGGTCAATCTCATGTCATCATCAGTGATGCTTGTCTTTATGTCTCACTCAAAAATGCATTCAAAGCGCAGTTTGAACTGCGGTTCTTCTCTGGTGGCCAGAAAACATCTCCAAGTGATTCATGCTGTTGGTTTTCACTCTCTCTGAGGTAAACCAACAGTGGCATTTGCCCTGCGTGTTTAATTCTTAGCCCTGTGGCTACATTTCATGCTTAGTGATTACAGCCCAAGTTAAATGCCTCATTTATTGACTGAATAAATTGCCTGCAGATATTCCTCTTTTCAACAGAATATACAGAGGCCCCCTAAGGGATAATACAATTAACATAAGAAGACATCGTGTGCTGATCTAATTATTCATCAAATTCAGTTCTCGAGTAGAAAAACATGTATCTGTTAATTCTCTCTGAAGACAATCCCATCCCCTGAAGAACTAAATAATATTCATCTGAAACCCATTAAGTCAAAGACAATCAATCACAGGATGCTAATTGACTTTTTTTTGGTCCCGTACAGCTACATGGCCATTGCAGAAAGTTGGCTCTATAGGCCCTTTTATGTGTTGTTTGAAATAGTCCCTCTATGGTTGTTGTGTCATGATATCAATGGGAAATTGAGCCTGACAGAACAAAGATTGAATTCCAGGTCGATCATCACATTTGTTGACGTGATACGTATTACCAAAAAGCGTTTGTGGTGTTAGTTGGTACAAATTAGTGGTGAAATGAGTCCTCGAGCAATTTGAGTACCAAGATTCAAAAAAATACTTGAGGATTTTTGGAGCCCAGTTTAAATTTAAAATTAACATCACTGTTGCCACCAATATCATTCTGAAAACATGTTCAATCGCTAATAACGCGCGCGCGCAAAAAAAAAAAAGATAACAAAAAAAGTAAATAATTGTGCTGATATGGTAAAATGCATTGTGTATAAACATTAACCCTTTCAGGTACAGTAGTTACAATAGTATTCAGCCTATCATGTTATCAGGTTACAAGTTATCATTATTCATGCATGTAAGGATTAATAATGCAAATATTAATGTTATCTGAATATTTGGGGGGAAAAAAGCTTGAGACAATTTAGTTTCGCGCCTTTTGACCAATTGACATAATCCTTGTGATGCCAAGTATTGCCATAATTTAGAGAGCACAAGTTTCATGCTCTTCCTGGACACTCACTCACCTCCTGAGGAACGTTCCAGGCCATGTAAACATGGCTCTTAAATTCATCCATCCAAACTTCTGCAACTCTGAGGGCATTGCGTCGCACGTGGGACGTCAGGTCCTCTGTGTAAGGTTTATGAGCACGCTCGATGTGGGCGATCCGGGCGCACGGCAGGACCTCCACGCTGCCGCCACACTGCCACACCTGGTTTTGAGCAAAATATAAATACACAGGAAGGATAGCGTGTCATCAGATGCAGTTTAGGGATACTGGAAGAGTCACAGAGAGGCAGTCATATTGCCACAACATTTACAGCTCTCATGTACAGACTACATAGAAATGCAGAGAGAGAAAAAAAAAATCCTCGAAAGGCGCCGCTCACAATTAACACTTCTCCACAACTTTGGCGTTTTATTCTTGTAAAGAAAAGGCTATTTTGTCTGCGCAGAAGTGGGAACCTAATTCATTATGCTCCAATTTGCTGGTGCTTTGCCTCTTCCGTGTGAGAGCAGCTGAGGAGCTTCATCACAGTGAGTGCAGAACGCCACTGATCACGAGCAATCTTTTTTTGTCACCTCTCTCGCCTTCTGCGGCTTCAACAGTCAGGAGGCGGCTCCCCTGATGCCAAATGTTCAAAAAGCGGAGGCCAAAATCCATGTGGATTAAAATCCAGTACTGAACTCTGACATACATGTAATGAAGATTGCTGAAATGTTTGTGACTTTTTGATGACTTGTGAGTTGGCATTCAACCATTAGTGATGGACCACTATGGATAATAATGTCGTTTTCTACAATCAAGGTGCTATGAAATAGAAGTTTAATATAGTATAAATCCTGCAGACGGTGATGCTAACAGCTATTACGATTCATTTCCACTTTAATTCAAACTTTGCTTTGTCTTGTGAGCAAAACACTTCACAACATCCAGCAGTGTTAGGAGACAGTGAAAAATTCTTCCAAAAAAAAAAAAGGCTTCCAAGCTGTTTTTATTGCCACTCTTAGTGGAAATTTAGTGTCAAACATAAACAAAGAGAATTACACTGTGTATTTAAAACACCCACATAGCTTTCCCTTTGCAAAGTCTGTAGAGGTTCATTTTAATGAAGAATGCAAATTACCATGGACAGACTGACAACAAAAAAAAAAGCACCTGTCATAACCCCTTAAGCAATGGATATTTGAACACAAACGGTGGAGCAACAGATGTAGACAGTTAATAAAACAATACTCACAGGCACATATTTTTTTATTGTTTGCGAGGAATAATTCATAATACTGTGGCTTAAAAAGAAGTCAACGCATCCACGAATATGCATACGTCTGTATTGTAGGTGGCCACGCAACAGAAAGAGCAGCAGAATGCCCATTGAACTGAAGCAAAAAAATGTGGCAAAAATGGTTGTTGACATTTTATTTAATGTCACTAATGTATGTTTTAATAAAGTATTATATTCTAGAGTGTAATTTTCTTCATTGAAAGAAAACCTGAAACTTTATTCTGGGGGGGGGGGGGGAAATCTGGGACAGATTAATGGTATTTCCAGTTATTTCAATAGGGAAAGATGATTTGAGATAGACGTTTTTTTCCAAATTCAACTCCTCAAGACACAACAGCATATTATGTATTCATGTATCGTTGTCACTCAACCTCTGGTAATTAATATCGCTTGTTTCATCCCAACTGCATACATACTGTACATAGTACTGTAGATTCATTTAAAGTATACTAGTCATCATATTCATTCAGTCATCACAATACTGCAGCCCATTCTTGCTCTTTGTGTTCGCATTAACATCTACCTTCAAGACATGTTTATGGTTGTTCAGCTTTGCGGGAGGTGCGCTACTGAGTGACATTCTAATTTGAGTGCGTGGTTTAGTATGTTGAAGGAGTCATTGAAAGAAAACAAAGAGAGACATCAGACAGTCTGTTCTGTATTTTTCCAGCATGGAGCAAGTAGTCGATGCTAATAACTCCATTTCACATGTGATTGCAGCACATTATTCAACTTTGAAAGTGCTGCATGAAGTAGAATCATTTTAAACTCTCGTATTGATAATCAGCTCCGCGGGTAAGACTGCTGCTGTTTCACAGCTCAATCACTAACTGCATATTGTTTAGATAATAGTTTTTTTGTTTTTGTTTTTTTAAATAGCACCTCTTCATAACAGGTTGTAATTTGTTGTGCTGATACCGAAAATGTGATAAAGCTTTCACTCGAAATCCCAAATTACTTCTGAGTCCAAGGGAATGAAATGGCACCTCACGATCAATACCACTAACACATAAATTTTACAGATGACAAAGGTTAATTCAAAAGGATGACGGTTTTAGGCTCAAGCTTTCACTCCAGATCCCAAATTCCTTCTGAATCCAAGGCAATAAAATGCAATATCAGAATCAATATCATTCAGAGAAACAATTTATTGGTCACAAAGATTAATTCAAAAGGATGAACGTCTTCGGCTCTGCTTCCAATGAGATAAAAAACGAAACTTGTTTACAATCTCATCTTGTTCTGTGGCTTGTGGGAAGAGAAATTTATGAACAAGCAACAAATATATTGTTGCCTCCACAAAAGAATTTCCATCCATCCATTTACTATACTGCTGATCCTGTTCAGGGTCACAAAGAAACTCCGAAGACCTTGGTTGAGAGCTGGGCTACTGGACTGATCACCTGTCAATCACAGGGCTAAGAGATTTGAAGTTGTGAGCGACGGGCCCACAAATTAAAAGAAGAAATTTCACAATGGTGGATGCTGATGTTGTCGTGTCAGAGGTGAGATCAAAGAAAACAACACATTTTCAATGTGTTTCCTCTGGCGTGTTGAAGACAAACAAAAAAAGATATTGTACCTGCGCCTTTATCACGGAGGCTGACAACGCCGTGGCACCTGAGCTTCACACTATGGCTCAGGCCTGATATTAAGGTGGACACAAAGAAAAGGAGATCTGACGAGAGTTAAAAAAAGAGGAAACTGGAGGAAGACACGGACCTCATTTCACTTATGTGCTCATATAATTTGTATTGTACATGAAGTGTGAAATGGAAGATTCAAGATTGTAACTAGAGCAGGGAAGCAGAGAAGTGTCCATTTTTCAATTATTTATGATATTTGCTCAATTCTTACTTTGAATGTTAAAGTAGCTTTCAATACATTGTGCACCTTGGGTAAAGGATGTATGTTAAACATTGATGGGAAAGATGATCCTTCATTAGTTGCACTCTGAGGAGGTTCGGCATATCTTTTGCAGGGTAAGAAATTTATGAATCACAGATTTGAGCTTCAAATATTCGTGTACACGATTTAAGTGCAAATTTATGCGGACGTACGGTTTGTGAATGAGGCCAATTCACACGAAAGCCAACGTACAGTATCTTCTTCAATGAACCTCACATTGATGTTTTTTGAACTATGGGAGCTGGAGAACACAAGCAGGCATATGGATAACATTCAAACTAGGCCTGAAAAAGTAATCAAATTAAAACCGACATCGCAGTGTAGTAGAACACAATTTTCCAAAGACATAGGCTGCATGGAGGAAAGAAAAAAAAAACAATTTCGATTGGTCGGTTGGCTTTAACTGCTGATTTTATTTATTTGTATAGTGTTTGAATAGTTCAGAGCTTCAGAGGTGCAGTCCATATGTTTTGATATCATTGTTTCGTGAAAGATGAAAAATTGAAGTGCCAGAGCCAGATTTTTTATTTTTTGCATTATTGTAATAATCTGATTTATGATTTAGTGATTTATGTTCACGCCACACGCTTGGTAGAATTTTGTGACGTCGTCATAGTGATTGCTTAAGAGACTTCAAGTCAAAGTGTTGAGTAAGTTAACAACTCTTTCATGTTTGATGGCTCATTTACCTTTATATTTACGTAATCCTAACCTAGAAAATCAAGACATTGACGTATAATCAATATGATGATCTGATATTACCCTTTTTTCAGTCTTAATCTCAAAATTGCACTTTTTGTTTAGGACTTGTTTTTCCTGCCTCCTTGTGACCAGCGATTTCTGCTTTCTCGAAATCTTTTTCTTAACAGTTTGTCTGAGATCCTAAACATGATTTGGTTCAGCCCAAATTCCAAACACATTCCTAAAATTAAATAATAAATCATGGCATACATTATCTAATTTTTTTAATTCCTAGCAAAGTGCTTAATGATGCTGTCACATAGACTAGACAATGCCATCTGCCACAGGTTTTAGCTTATTACAGATAAATACGATGTGATTTGAAATTGATTTTCTACCTTCACAGGACAAAAAAAGCTTTATAGTATTGCCTTGTTCACCCTGCAATCTGGAGAAGCATGGGTTCATCCATCAGTCATGCCATGACTCATCACTGGAGGCCTGAGGTGGAGAAGTGGCTGAGGTTGGCTGCATTTTACTGATAAACATCATGAGTCTGACGTATCATTTAATGGAAGCGCAGCCATCGTAGCTTTTCTTTTGGGGCCCACACCACATTTTTTTTTAATCGAAAAAAAATACAAACACTAATAAATAGCGTGAGCGCACTTCAACAGCAGGTGTAACGGATGCTTTCGGAAAAATAGCCCTTTAATCCCACAACACTAGGGCTGTAAAATGGTCTTTATGAATGATGGCCCATGAGATGCCAACATATAACGCAAGACCTCAGTTATGCAACCATTTGAACAGGGGTGTGTAGACTTTTTAATTCCACAATATTTTGCACTCCTCTGTATCACTCACGTACTTTTTGCATAACCCTGAAAAAAAGGGTAATATCAGAGCATAAATGGCCTCTTGACAAAAAAAAAAGAGAAAATCAGGAACTTTTCACCATCATTGAGAATATTTCTTTAGAATTATAATTTTCCATTTCATACTTGTATGTCTCACTGAAGTATACTGCTTTCATCTCACTGCACTCAATCTCCCATTCATCAACAGACAAAGATGTGTTCATCGTCAAAACACCCAAAATATTTCCCGCAATCATTTTTGCAAGCCATAATAACTCTTCACATCAAAGCACATGCAAGGTAAAGCTGCTCCTCCTTCTCTGCTGCCCAGAGCAGTGCAAATAATTGGCAACGACTTGCTGCTTGTATGCATCATCTCACATTGTCTGCCCTCAGTACATTTATTGGCCGCTCAGCTCTATTTCCGTACTAGCTCGCCGTCCTTCAATGTTGTTTCACACAAACAAAAAAACAAA